CGCCACTGTTTGTTTGGTAGTCCACTTCCTAAGGATGTGTAGCGCTGTTGACAATACAGATAAATGGTTAGCCAGAAAGAAGGTTAATTTTGTGTTTCCATATGCCTGATCACACCGTGATAAATGAGTGCTGAAGAGACGCTCACAAATAAATGATATGACCAAGCGTATAAACCCCATACACATCCCAGCAATCGATATCATTCTCAGTGAAAGTCATCGTCTTCCTAATAAGGTTGTCGTGTGAGTGACCCTGTGTGTACTGTTCATTGGTGGCTGTTGAGGACGTGGGTTTAATGATAACTTTATTTGCAGCTTTGACATTATTAAATACCTTGATTAAACAATTACCAGTATAAGTCCTAGTCTCAATACATGGTCGCTGACCATCTCCCTGTCATCAATCAATACATCATCGGACTTGTGATCTGTGCCAACAAAGTCAACCTCTCCCCAATTACATATAGATTCACATAAATGATCCTTGCAAACTGATATATATTTTTCCTTGCATATCGCTGTCCAAAGGCCTTCATTGTCAGATATTGTGCAGGCTAACATATATCCTCTTACTCAAAGTAATTTGTTAATTCCCTCTGTCTGCAGCTGCAGGTCATGTTTTGGAGAGACACAGAGAAACCTGATAATGAGGTGTAGGTTGTCCTCACACAACAGGTCTATATCCTTAATTAATATGGACAGAGAAGCCCTAAAACTGATATAAAACCAGGAATTGGTCTTGTCCCTTGTGTGCTTTTCATATCTCCACCTTATTCTAGATGAAAGGCAGCATGTCAAATCGAACACATTTCAAACTAAATTTGACAATGAATATTTGACTCGAAAGATGATAGATGGACTCTCAAGAGATTCTTCTACATTTCAGAAGCAATTAGAAGTCCATTTTTATTGAAATGTTTGCATAAAATGTTGTCAGTTGAAGAGCTAAACAAGGGAAGCAACTCATTTCAACATTCTCAAACTTAGTTGATTTGTAATTCTTGTTTTAAAAAAGGTTTCTGAAGTGAAATATGAAACAGTTTTTGTATCTGTCCAAATAGATATCCTAAAAACATAATTGAGACGGAACTCAAACAATACTGCGGTTTCTGTGAAAATTATGCCAGTATGAATATTGTTATTGAGATTGAAAAATGAAATCATTGCAAAAGGTTATTGTCATGTTATGAAGCACACTTGGTGTTTGGGTATGAAGAATGAGCTACACACTGAGCCAGGGAAACTGGTATTGTGATGCTTTATCCTGTGTTGTATACGATATGGAAATGGGACTGATTCATGTCTCTAGGCCTTTTAGATGTACTTGCACTTTTGTCACCCCGCCTGACAAAGCAGCCTAGTGATTCAGCCCACAATGGGATGGATCAGGTTGTCCTCCTCATAGACTGCTTCATTAGGTAACGCCAAGGTCAGTTAAGAGCTTGAACTGGATCATTGCCACAATGAGCTCCTTGTGGATTCTTATATAAATGTTACTGGGTTACTCAGAGTGAGTGTTAAAATATAACTATTTTCATGACAACGGCATTGGATGTTCGCTTTTGATTGAGGAAGTCAGGTATCAAAATAACAAAAGCTATTGAAGAATTTAACACTTATTCTACCGTATCAGTTTTCTTTTAGAGTGGTAAAAATATCAATTGACAAAAAGATTCTTGTGACTGCCAACAAACAGGAACACCTTCCTAATATTTTGAGGCTATATTTGTCGTATTTTGAGTGACCCTTAGAGGACCCTGCTGTAGTTGTGATTCAATGATTTGCATCATCTTGTTACCACTGCTGTGTACAAGTGTACACATGCTAAGTAATGATCCCCTCATACATATCCTATAACACACTGAAACAATTACTGATTTTTGATTTTCCAGGACAATTAAGGATCCTGTTAATTCATTTCAGCATTATCATAGTTTATGGCCTGCTTATTAGACTTCTCAGTGCTCTCCCATTACTTGATTAGGCCCGCCAACCCTTCCTTCTTTATGGTTGATGAATGCTATCACGATTTGTCACTTGGATTTTATTGCCTTTCTAGTTTTATGATATGCGACTCATACCCCAAGCCCCTCGCTTCCCCTACCCACCCTCCTGTCTCGACTCATACCCCTATCCCCTCCCTCCCCTACCCACCCTCCGGTCTCGACTCATACCCCTAGCCCCTCCCTCCCCCTACCCACCCTCCTGTCTCGGCTCATACCCCAAGCCCCTCGCTTCCCCTACCCACCCTCCTGTCTCGACTCATACCCCTAGCCCCTCCCTCCCCCTACCCACCCTCCTGTCTCGGCTCATACCCCTAGCCCCTCCCTCCCCCTACCCACCCTCCTGTCTCGGCTCATACCCCTAGCCCCTCCCTCCCCCTACCCACCCTCCTCCCATACCCCAAGTCCCTCCCTCCCCTACCCACCCTCCTGTCCTCATAGCCCCTCCCTCCCCCTACCCACCCTCCTGTCTCGGCTCATACCCCTTGCCCCTCCCTCCCCCTACCCAGTCTCCCCTCCCTCCTCCCTCCCCCGCCCCACCCTCCTGTCTCGACTCATACCCCTAGCCCCTCCCTCCCCCTACCCACCCTCCTGTCTCGACTCATACCCCAAGCCCCTCGCTTCCCCTACCCACCCTCCTGTCTCGACTCATACCCCTAGCCCCTCCCTCCCCCTACCCACCCTCCTGTCTCGGCTCATACCCCTAGCCCCTCCCTCCCCCTACCCACCCTCCTGTCTTGACTCATACCCCTAGCCCCTCCCTCCCCCTACCCACCCTCCTGTCTTGGCTCATATCCCTAGCCCCTCCCTCCCCCTACCCACCCTCCTGTCTTGTCTCATACCCCTAGCCCCTCCCTCCCCCTACCCACCCTCCTGTCTTGACTCATACCCCTAGCCCCTCCCTCCCCCTACCCACCCTCCTGTCTCGGCAATTTGTACGAAAAAGTCTTTCCCTTATTTCCTTCTTGTTGAGACGAAGTTTGTAAAATGCTTTTGTTTTCAACAGTGTATGATTTCCTGGATTTTGTCACTGTCAGCAGAATCATAGCAGCTATGTTTTCACTTGAGTTATTAACTAATGGAAAATAGAGTTCATGCTTTATGTATATATACAGTAAAATCAGAAGGCTATAAATGATATTGATTACATACTACCAACTAAACCTTATCTGTGACTGCTTAGAGGAGAGAAAATCATACACACAAATGTACACCATCTAAAGAAAACTAAGTATTGATATCATATCAGTGGTGGAGTCGGGTTTTAGTGCATGTAGTAGCATTGTTTGTGTGGAAAACAAACCACAAAATGACAAAATGTTTTCAGTGCAAGATTACACATCTATCAACAGAGTGATTATAAAAAACATATCCTGAAAAGGTGTTGTTGATGATCATCAATCTTGATGTAGATACACATACTTGTACTTCTGTTTTTCTTTTTATGTATTTCATGCAGGTTTCAAGCATTTGTAACCTTTTTCATGTGTACTAATAAAAATTTTAAACACATACTAAAAACTCTATACAAGACAAAATATTCTGAAAGATAGAAAGCAAGATGGATTTTACAGGTGGTAAAATTATAAAGGTACATAAGTTTTTCAAATTCACCATTAATTTTGTTTGGAAAATTTTTTTGTCATTTTATAGGAAATTTATCCAAAGACCATTTTGTAAGGTCTTATACATGACGAGGGTGAAATTAAGAATTGTTTTGGGCATATCTGGTTTATCCATACAAAAGGATTTTTGAATCCTTCTTTTTTTCCACCTTGTAAATGAGCTGGAATAACTAGCACCTCAGTATGGCAGTGTAGAATTATAAAAACCTTTGTGTGAACAATTCATGTTATGTCAGAAAAAGAATGTGATATTGAATAGCTGTGGTTAAATACTGAATGAAAGAACCAACCTCAGGGTACTGCTATTTGAACCAAACGCATGGCATTGGTTGGACTCAAAGACTGACCACTGAAACTCAACCATTCACTAGGTATTTGTACAGCTCAAAGATTGACTACTGGAATGAACTACCAACTGGGAAATTTGTACAACCCAAAGCCTGACGGCTGGAAGTACACTAACTACCAACTGGGCAATTTGTACAACCCAAAGCCTGACAGCTGGAAGTACACTAACTAGCAACTGGACATTAGTACAACTGAAAGTCTGACTACTGGAGTTAAACTATCCACAGGGCATTTGTACAACCAAAAGGCCGACAACTGGAAGTGAACTTAACCCACAGGGCATTTGTACAACCCAAAGCCTGACAAGCAGAAGTGAACTTAAGCCACAGGGCATTTGTACAACCCAAAGGCCGACAACTGGAAGTGAAGTTAACCCACAGGGCATTTGTACAACCCAAAGGCCGACAACTGGAAGTGAACTTAACCCATGGGGCATTTGTACAGCCGAAAGGCCGACAACTGGAAGAGAACTTAACCCATGGGGCATTTGTACAACCCAAAGCCTGACAACTGGAAGTGAACTTAATCCATAGGGCATTTGTACAGCCCAAAGCCTGACAACTGGAAGTGAACTTAACCCATGGGGCATTTGTACAACCCAAAGACTGTGCTTTTAGTGGAAGGGAAAATCATTTTTAATTGTTGATGTACTTGTTTTACCTAATTTTTTCTAACTAGTTCTATAGGTGTCAACCTGTTAGACCACTATCACCATTGACAAATGTACCAGCAATACTAATTCATTAATTAGTATATTTTTTTTAATACTCTAGCAGAGTTGTTTGTGTGTCTTTTGTACAGTCCTTTTATTTGTCTTATTTGAGGTTACATGTTAAAGGTCAAGGTCAACAATTTATGGCCAATTTACATCTTTACTGGCTATGAATTACTGTATTCACAAATTTATTTGAAAGCATATGCGTGGTATTTAATCATTTAGTTCTGCTGGCAATCCAATAAAATGTAATTCTGCTGTTTTCACTATTAAGTCCAATGATCTGCTGCCCCTTGACAACAAACTTACTGTTAGGCATTGTATGAGAGAATCTTCAAAGGCCTTTTGGAACGCTCGCATGTCGGAACACCACTCCAGCAATTCTCGGGCTGCATTTTGGAACCCTGCAGGCGTAGACAAGTGCTGAAACCCAATCAAAATTGACATTAGAATGGAATACTAGCATGACAATTGCAATTGAAATGCTTCTGTCTTAATTCTCTTTCCGGTTACAACCAAAACAGGAACATTGATTTCACTTTTTTTTTTCAATAATTGATTTCAATATTATTTGCAGTTGGGTATTTTATATTGGAAGTTTTTCCATAATAGCTTTAGGAAACCAATTTCAGTCAGCAAATATCTTTTGTAAATGAATTAATCATCATTTATCTGGCTTTCTAAATTCTAAAATTCAAGAGAAAAAAAATTGAAGAAAAAAATTCAACGCCTTTCAGCTTTAGAGAATAGAACAATGTACACAGTGATGAAAATACCTCCTCACATTGTCAGTAATTTCAGAGTCCACCTTTTTTTGCAAATTTATAATTCAAACCATAGATAGAGAACAAATTAGAATTCAGACAATACAATTCACCACTAAAAGGCTGAGAATCAGCACTGAAACATTTTAATAATCTATTTAAACAATCCTGTAAATTGCTTGAGACATTAGAATAAATGTAAAACGTACTGTAAAATTGAACAGTACATTGAAAAACTTCAGGAGTTGCATATAGCTTATCTTTGCTTGGAATTGTTAGCCACATTAAGACCCAATTTTTATTTTTATTCTGGTTATATATTATCTTAATGTCAATTTTATTTTTTTTTTCATTTAATGAGAGAAGTTTCTTACACATGCATCTAAATAATATCTTGAATGTCACTTTTGCAAGTAAGGAAAGTCTTAGCTAGCTTCATTGATCTAAAACCATGCTTTGAAACTAAACTGAACTTCAAAAGCTGTGAAAACCCAACATAGAGCCGTGAAAACTTGACTCCGAGTGTGTGAAAGTGAAAACCCAACATAGAGCCGTGAAAACTTGACTCTGAGCTGTGTGTGAAAGTGAAAACCCAACATAGAGCCGTGAAAACTTGACTCCGAGCTTTGTGTGATAGTGTGAAAACCCAACATAGAGCCGTGAAAACTTGACTCCGAGCTGTGTGTGATAGTGTGAAAACCCAACATAGAGCCGTGAAAACTTGACTCCGAGCTTTGTGTGATACTGTGAAAACCCAACAGAGCCGTGAAAACTTAACTCCGAGCTGTGTGTGATAGTGTGAAAACCCAACATAGAGCCGTGAAAACTTGACTCCAAGCTGTGTATGAAAGTGTGAAAACCCAGCATGGATCTGTGAAAACCCAACGTGAAGCGATGTAAACTTGACTTTGTATTGTGAAAACCTGACTTGATATCTATGCAGTGATGCTGATACTATAGAGTAAAACAGAATTTTGGAGATGATGGGATCAAGTAACATCATATGAGTTACTGAAGTTCCAAAGATAGGTGAAACTTTTGATGTAAAGTTGGGTTGTTGTGAGTTGAGAAATAATCCTATGTAAAGCTATTTCAATTGTTGCTTTTATGATACCAATTTGGATGGTTCCAGTAATTGAGAATGTTCTGAAATTCTTAGAGTGTCTTGTATCCAAAGACTTACGTTTTTTATACAGTGAAGTCTATCTACCGTCTGCTGGATGTGGCGCTCCATGTCCGTGACAGCGTTGTTGTTGGGAACATTTGACCAGTGGTCAAGCATTTGGACTGATGAATTCTAACTTACATAAGAATGTCTGGGGATTTCATTTCCTTTTACCACACTAGCGCAACATTGGCACTACATTGTCCTTACTTCACATCTTAACCCTGGACAGGGTCAAAGGTCACTTTGGTCACTTATATCTCAATGTCATCCATTGTTGAGTATCATGGTAACTGATGCAGGTCAAATTGCAGCATGAAATCTGGAATAAAGAATAAACCGAGTTGATAATGAAAATTTGATTAAAGTGGAGTTCAACTAGAATGAAATTATGCCTGATGGTTAAATTGTCATCCTAAATCCTTAATTGTTATTTGAAAAAGAAAAAAGAAATCATAAATTTGATGGAAAAGAGTTTGTTTTAACTTGCCTCACATTGATATAGAAATAAGAATATCAATAAATAGACGTGTGATGTACAGTGTGAAGATGTCCAATAAGTAGAGGTGTGGTGTACAGTGTAGAGATTTAAGTTAGCTCTTAACAGTGCTTAATCAAGGATTTGCTGTTGTAAGCTATACTTCTAAACAATGTGGAATTTAAATGTTCGAGAGCAATTCAAATACAGAAAGTTGTGGGTTTGCGAATGATTATTTGGTTAATGTCTCTTGCCAATTAGAGTATGAAGTCCTAGCTACATGCCAAGTGTTGTTTGTGCTGTAATATGCAGATAACATTTGATTTTGGTTTGATTCAATTTAGTGAAAAACAGATTTCCCAGTGGGCAGAACCATCCAACAATCAAAGAGATTGTTTTATTTCTCTATTTGGAGTTATTACAGTATTCAATCAAGACCTAATTTTGAACAACACCAATAAATTCCTTATTTTTTTTTGAAATTGCAACAAATATTTTGCTGATAGCAGTACATTTATCTCATTGTGGAAGTTTAATCTCCAACACATTAACTTTGTGAAGTATTTTTTACAAACAGTATGATCTCCCCGACATAAAACCAGTAAAGTATTTTATACCCAAGTATAATCTTCCTATCTTCAGCTCATTGAATCATCATCATCTTACTGAATTTGGTGCAATTTTAGAGCATTTTCCTTTTTTGGCAAATTAGCGCAGTGACAAATTAGCTCAATGACAAATTTGCGTATGCATGATAGTTGCTATTTAAACAACATATTCTAACGCACCACCTTCACTACGAAAATGGCTTAAATAAGATTACTGCTAAAATATGTACTGTTATGGTAAACTGTGAACTAATTACAAATCCAGCACTACATATGTCATTCTGTGTTATGATGAACTGTGAACAAGTTATAGAACCAGAACTGTATTTGTCATTCTGTGATATGATGAACTGTGAACTAGTTATAGAACCAGTACTATATTTGTCGTTCTGTGATATGATGAACTGTGAACAAGTTATAGAACCATGACTATATTTGTCATTCTGTGTTATGATGAACTGTGAACTAGTTAAAGAACCAGCACTATATTTGTCATTCTGTGTTATGATGAATTGTGAACTAGTTATAGAACCATGACTATATTTGTCATTCTGTGTTATGATGAACTGTAAACTGTGAACTAGTTATAGAACCAGGACTATATTTGTCATTCTGTGTTATGATGAACTGTGAACTAGTTATAGAACCATGACTATATTTGTCATTCTGTGTTATGATGAACTGTGAACTAGTTATAGAACCATGACTATATTTGTCATTCTGTGTTATGATGAACTGTGAACTGTGAACTAGTTATAGAACCATGACTATATTTGTCATTCTGTGTTATGATGAACTGTGAACAAGTTATAGAACCATGACTATATTTGTCATTCTGTGTTATGATGAACTGTGAACTAGTTATAGAACCAGTACTATATTTGTCGTTCTGTGATATGATGAACTGTGAACTGTGAACAAGTTATAGAACCATGACTATATTTGTCATTCTGTGTTATGATGAACTGTGAACAAGTTATAGAACCAGAACTGTATTTGTCATTCTGTGATATGATGAACTGTGAACTAGTTATAGAACCAGTACTATATTTGTCGTTCTGTGATATGATGAACTGTGAACAAGTTATAGAACCAGGACTTTATTTGTCATTCTGTGTTATGATGAACTGTGAACTAGTTAAAGAACCAGCACTATATTTGTCATTCTGTGTTATGTTGAACTGTGAACTAGTTATAGAACCATGACTATATTTGTCATTCTGTGTTATGATGAACTGTGAACTAGTTATAGAACCATGACTATATTTGTCATTCTGTGTTATGATGAACTGTGAACTAGTTATAGAACCATGACTATATTTGTCATTCTGTGATATGATGAACTGTGAACTAGTTATAGAACCAGTACTATATTTGTCATTCTGTGTTATGATGAACTGTGAACTAGTTATAGAACCACGACTATATTTGTCATTCTGTGTTATGATGAACTGTGAACTAGTTATAGAACCAGTACTATATTTGTCATTCTGTGATATGATGAACTGTGAACTAGTTATAGAACCAGTACTATATTTGTCATTCTGTGATATGATGAACTGTGAACTAGTTATAGAACCATGACTATATTTGTCATTCTGTGTTATGATGAATTGTGAACTAGTTATAGAACCATGACTATATTTGTCATTCTGTGTTATGATGAATTGTGAACTAGTTATAGAACCATGACTATATTTGTCATTCTGTGTTATGATGAACTGTGAACTAGTTATAGAACCAGGACTATATTTGTCATTCTGTGATATGATGAACTGTGAACTAGTTATAGAACCAGTACCATATTTGTCATTCTGTGGTAGGATGGTTGAGATTTGACTGGCTAATCTGTAATTATGGTGGGAATGTTATAAATCATTGGAAGGAGAATTACTGTGAGTTGTAGGGAACCTGATCGAGAGAGGAAAAGATTAGACATTAGTGGCTGTTGGACTGAAGTATTATGGCCTATGATAATGGTTTCCAGCACTGGCTGCTGAGAAAGGTTACACCAAGCCAAAAAAAGGGGCCCCAGACAGTGTGTACAATTTGACCTTGACAATGTATCACACACAGATATAAATATACATTCCTTACCATCAGTGATTCAGTTTTTTACCCTCCCCTGAATATATACACTCATCCAATATGGTACTGAAGTTATGTTAAGGTATAAATGGGAGATCTCCAGGATTTTTATAGACAAACAAAAGTAGGTAGTAATGTATCACCATGTTCCTGGAGGTCTACATGTTGAAAACATTGCACTTTAACAGAAATTTTCATTTGAATTAAGATCTTAACCGATAACATTTTCTCCTGAAATTTTCTTTCCTGAAATATGGTTTTAATCAGACGGTTTATGTGGTGAAGTAAATACAGGGCTTGGTTGCCAAAGTTGAGTAGTGCGAGCCATGTTGAGTGAGGTTTGATAGAAAGTTACAGCTGTGAAAATGTGCCCTGGATCATGTTAATGTGTTATTACTTGAGAGACTTGTTGAAGGCTATACATCATTACTATAGATGTCTACCACAAATGCTTCAAATAATTTCATACACTTTTTCCGGTTTTTATACTTGCACAAAAAATGTAAGGCATAATTGAATCAGTTGAGGTAATTTCACACATTTAGATAAGGAAGGCTAGGAGAAATAAACTGTTCTGATTTTTGTTAAACAAATTTTATTCTGTTGCAAAACATGAATTTTAGAAGAGTAAATTCAATTTGTCTGCGTTTGTAATTGTAGCCTTCTGTGTTACAGACTTAAGCAACATCAAATGTCTTTTTTCATGTCTGATTTGACCCTTCAAGTCCAGTGTGACCTTGAAAGTCCAATGTGACTGTACAAGTCCAATGTGACTATATATTAAGTGTGACCCCAACAAGTCATATGTGCCCTGATAAGTCCATTGTGACTTGTTAACTCCAATGCAGCCTTATCAAGAAGAATTGATAACATTAGAATTAAACTTTTTAAACTTTACCTGTCAATATAAAATTTAGTCTTTGTCACGAAATCATTTTCACTGAAATTAATTGTATCTTAAATATTTTGTAACTACCAATCCCTCTCTGTTAAAACATCACATTCTCAGCAGTATTATGTGAAGTTTAATGGAAGTTATTGTGATTGAACTATTAGTTCATAAATTGAATTCAAAAAGATGTCTTATTATCACAGGTAGTCTCTTATCACAACTGGTCTCTGTGAACAGGTTTACACAGAACCATTGTATGTGACTAACTGTAGGATGAGGCTGTCCATTTGTTTTTTCTTCACCTTAAGAACACATTAAGGCTGTTTGTATATTAATGTTGTGATGATGATGAATCATAGAGACATTGGACAGTAACAGGCCAGACAAAGACAGGTCATCTACAAGGCTAATGACACCATCAGTGATTCAGATGAATGGCCCATTAGTCCCTCAGCCACTGGCCACACTACATGGTGGTCAGATCTGCCTGGTACCCATTTGAGGAATCCATCGATTAACTGGACAAATGGGGATATAAAAAATATTGTAAGCAATATGACAATGATGGTAACACCATAGATACAGTAGGCAGTCTCCGAGGACTGCCTCTGTCACCATTCTCAGCCTTAACAGTAAGTGTTGCTTGTGACATATGGGGACATCTAGATAGCAGTCATTTGTCTGCACTACAAGTTCCATTAGTTTTTGAGGCATGAGAAATGTGGTTTTAGACAACTCACATGAGACCTTAGATGATTTAGGTGATGGTGATGTCCATTGAAACTTTAATAAAATGGACAACCCGAGGCTAATTCAGCACTCTGGCAAGGTCTTGGGCTTGGTTCAGTTCTGGGACAGGCAGGTTTTTGGTATAGTTCAGTCTTGTAACAGGCAGGGTCTTGGATGTGGTTCAGTCTTGGAAAAGGCAGGGTCTTGGATGTGGTTTAGTCTTGTGACAGGCAGGGTCTTGGATGTGGTTCAGTCTTGTGACAGGCAGGGTCTTGGATGTAGTTCAGTCTTGGAACAGGCAGGGTCTTGGATGTGGTTCAGT